CTTCCCTTCCCTTCCCTTCCCTTCCCTTCCCTTCCCTTCCCTTCCCTTCCCTTCCCTTCCCCCATCTCCCTTCCTTTCTATTTTTTCATTTTTGTTAAGCTACAAGGGACAGTAGTAGTCATGTGGAGTCAGTCTGAGGCACACATGCGTGATAGGGATGCATTGTACTCTGTCAAGTTCTGACGCGCATTCTTTTTGAAGGTGATTATTGATTCTCTGCCTCTGAAAGAAGCCAAAAAAAAAAAAAGTTGAGAATTTTAATCACGTCTTAAGGAAAAAAAGAAAATCCCAACCTTGCTCTTTAAAAAAAATGTGTATATTATAATAGGAATGGGAAAGAAAATACTAATGGAAGTACTTCTTATGGGAAAAAATATTGCTCTGGTATAAGACTGTGCATTACTTAACTGGAAGCACTGAACATCATCACATGTGACAAGGAAAAGCTTCTTCAGGTGGCTGCTAGGAGATTGCGCTTAATGAGCCATCTCCCTGACATCTAAAAGAGAACATTGTCTTTGCTGTGGACTGTGCCTTTGAAAACGTAAGACAGTGACTAAAATGGAGTGATAAAAGTTGTGTTTTCCTGTATGTCATAAAGATTTACAAATATATTTGCCTTGCATTGTTTTGAGGTGAATTATATCTGTTCTCTGCTGTGGTTTTTGTGCTCCAGTCTCATCTCAGCTGCAGCTGCATCTGAAAACAAAAGAAAATCCAGATAAGAAGACAAGGATTTGATGCTGTGAATCTGTATCTACAGTTGTTTCTGTAGATTACATTGATTTGATCTCACTTCTCCATCTAAAAATGTAATGAGAAAAAAAAACAAACACAGATATGTATGGGGAAAATTCTCCAAGTGAATAAAAAGAGTGCTTGAGTAATTGTATTTTTCCTGTAGGCATTAAGGACGATGTGGTTCTACAATGCAATGAGATGCTTGTTTTCTCTCAGCATATAATTTAGATACTTGGTACCCAAGGAAGATGGAAAGGAATCAGGAGCAGGTAGAAGGAAGCCGAGAAATTAGAATGGAGCATGGAGGAAACATACAGGAAGGAGGTCAGGCAGGTGAATGGAAGGAATGCTCAAGATATTTTAAAATACAGTAACATCATGAGTAAAATTCTGAATGGCGAAGACAAAGAAAAGTTAGTGTGGCTAATTTGGATGGTATGGAAAATGAAATGCCCTTGTACTCCTCAAAGCTTTTCCTCTTGGGATGGAAGAATCAAATCCCAGCAGGAAACTGACAATATGTTCCTTTCTAGATTTCACTGAAAAGTTCCCACGCTAGCTTGGCAACATTTTTAAATACTAGATTTACTTTAAAATATTTCCCTGCCCCTTACTCCGAAAGAAAACGTCAGACGAAAGGAAAAAAAGTCTCATCCCAAACTGCTGTTAGTCAGGAAACGTAAGTGATGGGGATGACTCATATCGTGTACGTCAGGCACACTGAAAACAGAAGATATGAACAGCAAAATAGGAAGACGAGTGTGGGAATAGGCATCTAGAAATAACTAGCCAAAGTGGTTCTTTTTTCTTCTTTTTTATTTTTGTTGAGTTTTGGTGGGGTTTCTTTTGGTTGTTGTTGTGATTTTTGTTTTGTTATGATTTGATATTCTGTACAGAGTTCCACAAAATCCACCCCCCAAAATGATTCCAAACCTCAGAATATTAAAAACGCAATCCAGCTGACAGCTGTCCCCTGAATGTTCAAAATTTGTTTTTAATCTGGGCAAATGCTAAACTGTTCATCTACCACGGGGCAGTATTTTTATCATCATACACAGCAGTGGTATTTATATCACTTTTATCTTAAGAAAAAGTGGCAGATGTGGGCTTTGAAGCAAGTGCTAGAGAAGAGTGCATTGGCCAGTGGAAGAGTAAGAAGAGCTCTTGAGGAGATGCTGAACCACATGAAAGTAGCATCTGAAACAGCACTAAGGCTATCTATCTTGTTGGCTCTTATGATTTCAGATAAAAGAGAAAATGCCATTATTTAGTGACTCTCTTTACATGTAAAAGGCAGTCCCTGGAGCAGTAACTCAGTCAACAGCAGTAATGCCAATTCAGAATGGAATTTTCCAGTCCTATGGCTCTGTCTTTCCACTAGTGCATACATTTAGTGGAGGGTTATTAGAGTTAGGGTAATATGGTTAGGTTGCGGTTGGACTCCATGATGTTTAAGGTCTTTTCCAACCTGAGCAGTTCTATGATTCTGTGATTGTATGAAGTTGGCATGCTACTGAATCCACTTTTACACTGTCAAGTCACTGCTGAGGAATAAGCATTTTTTACAAGGAAGGAGACTTAACACATTCACCATGCCTCATCTGCTTGTGTCCAGCCCTACCTATTTTGTGAATCCCTAAATAAAAATAACCATTAGAATAATTTACACTGGAAGGAGCATGTTAACCACGCACTTAATTCCGTTGTCCAAATTGTAAATAAAGCCATTAACATCCTTGGCCCTAGTATCAATCCCTCGGGCATGCCATTAGCAACCAGCTGCCAGTTGGACTTTGTGCTGCTCATCACCACCCTCTGAGCCCAGTTATCCTGCCAAATTTCCACCCACCTTACTGTCCATTTACCCAATCTAGATCTGTTATACAACACCCTGTGCTCTCTCTTTCATTGCAGAGCCACTGATCTCTGCCAGTGAGAAGGTAGGCTGGTCAGGCACGATAACAGCATATTTCTTCTTCAGATAGTCCTTGCTTCCTCTCTTCTTCTGCAGTATAAACTAAACAGAAATCCATGCAAATTCCAGATGTAACTTTGCCAAGAAAATGTGTCTGCAATACATTATTATTCCAGACACACGTTATTGGAACACCTGGACTCTCAAGTTCAAACCCAGGACGCAATTACTGATATATGACAGAATACTATCTTTTCTGAAAGAATTTGCAGTCAAGAACTGAACTTTCACACAAATGACCTGTGATTTCCTGTTACAGTGTAATACTATTTCTCTCGGGAATGATCGTGCAAAGTATTTGCTTGCTAAGCGAACTGTGGCTGTTTAAGAGTCAGCTTACAGTTTTATTTATCTAAGGATTCACAAAGCTAATAATCTTAGAAAGAATTACCAAAAGTTACATTCTCACTGCCCCAAAGTTAAATAATCAGCAGTGCCTCCCACTGATTACGAGATTCTGATGCATATTACGAGATTCTGATGCAGCCAAGGGTACAGAGCTATGAATTTTTTCCTGTCTATGCAGTAAACAAGCCAAGGCAACAGAAACTTGTATTCAAGGGATGAAGTTTTATACTTTAGCTAGACATGTTTGCCCAAGCTTTCCAAAACAAGAATCCTCAACAATCTCCTTCACACCTACAGG